TGTATTTTTATTGTATTTAAGCAACTCTTTAAATTATTCTTAAATAAATAATACATTCTGCTGGTGATGAAATTAAACATTTTTATCAAATCCTAATGGGATATAAAATCATCTATTTCTTGCTTTATGTTTGAGATGATCGTATTCTGATTTAGTTATTACTTTGACATTACTACTGAAATCCAAAATCTCACCTATATTTCTGACTTGATGTTTGTTTGTTTTTTTGTATCCCTAGAGTTCTGGGTTTACCCAAGTTTTGGGTTTACCTTGAGAATTTCATCCTTTTTGTCAAATACAATAATCTCTGTTTTTCTTTGTTTATTTAAAGGAAGAATTGGCACATCCAACTGTTACTTTGATCAATACACTGGCTCAGGGAGTCAGTGGGACTGTAGTCACTGGGTGATAGACTTGGGTAGATCTGGGTGCCATTTGCGTAGCTGTGATGAGAAGTTTGGTTCCTTTTATTATGTTCCCTATTAAAACCATATACAAATTGAACAGGAACAGTGCGAGAACTGAGCCTTGTGGGACTTCCCATTTCATGGCTGTCCATTCAGACTTATGGTCGCCAATATTCACATAGTAACCTCTCTCTTCTAAGTTTGATCTGAACTTTTTGAGGACTGTTGCTTAAAGCGCTGCATAGTTACATTTTATAAGTTAAATATATAGTATACCATATAATAAATTATACATTTTTTATTTATTATAAATATATATAATGTATTATAATATTAAAAACCTGTTGATATAAGGTGTGCTGAATATTGTATATGCTGAATAAGATAAATAAAAATGCTGTTTTTGTGTTTAGGTTAAATAATTGTGAGCTGACAGAGAAAAGCTGTTCAGTTCTAGCTACTGTTCTCTCCTCCAAAACCATCCTGAAAGAGGTAATAAACAGCAATGAACTGCAATATCTGCTTGTCATCAGCAGAACTGTGGAAGCATATATTTTTTTCTCTGATGATGTCACCAAGTGGCAGCACAAAAATAATAAAGGACCAAGGCAGCTTCCTTGTGGGAGGCAGCTTCCTTGTGGGACTCCAGAATGGGCTTGATGTTTCTTAGACACATGCTCTCCAAGTCTAACATTGAAATTTCTTCCTTTAAAATATGTTTTATGCCAATTTAATACACAATCAGAAAGACCTACTGACTTTCCCAAATGGTTTATTAAAATATCATGATCAGTCGTGTCAAAAGCTGCACTTACGTCTAAAAGAACAACAGTTGAGACCAAGTTTTATTCTGAGATCACTAATTATTTTCGTAGAGCAGTTTTGGTACTGTTCTAAAATCAGACTGAAACTCTTCCATAATGTGATTTTCTTCAATAAAGGAGTTTATATGTTCTGCAACTACCTTTTCAAGTTTTTTTCTAATAAATGTGAGATATGGGCCTATAATTAGCCAGGACACTACTGTCCAGAGTTGGCTTCTTTAATACAGGTTTTAAAATAGCTGTTTTAAAAGCATCAGGGAAAACAGGTAGTTTGAAGGGATGTATTTATAATATACAAGACGGGCTTAAAACACTGCCAAACACCCATTTAAAAACACCTGTATGCACATGGTCAATGCATGAGGTAGCAGAATTACATGTGGTAATAATCGTATGAAGCTCATTTAATGTTAGACATCTGAATTTGCAGAAGGTTATATCTCTTTCATGAAATTCATTAAGATTAGCTTCATTAACATCAGCTACAATGCTATTTCTAGTTGATAATATTTTGTCTTTGAAAATGCTAATTCTTCACATTTCGATGCAGAAAACTGTTGAGGGATGGGGCAGTATTTATTAGTTGATCAATAGTAAAAACAGAGAATAGTGTTTTGGGATTTCCAAAGGAGTACTGGGAATCCCAAGGATTGAAGCAACTGAGTTGCTTCATTGAAGTTAATAGCTTTTTGTGTCATGTAGACTATTATGAGAGAGAGATGGACTGAGCAAGTGTGATTACCTGCATTTGATATAACATTAATTCTTCAGCTCAATCTCATATTCACAATAAAACATTAGTTTGAATGTCTACTGAGGAAAGCAATATCTTTGTCATAGTATCCTTTCAACTGTTAAGGGGATTTCAGATGACAGCACTGCCCAGTGCATTTGCTGGTTGCATCTTGCAAGGTGTTGTTGAAAGTAAAAATAATGTACTACTTTACAACCATGTTTCACTCCCTTTCAACATAAGTCTTTGCTTCTGACTTTTCTAGTCTCTTGTCACCATCTAATGCCATAACAATGTAACTAAAATCACCATCACTAACACTCAGACCATTTCTTAAAACAAAATACTATTATTAAATGCTACAATTATTTATATAAAATATTATTTATTGAACAATAATACTTAATAAACAACAATAGCCATTAGAAAAGTTGCTAAGCAATTCCATCAAAAGTACAAAGGCAGTGCTCTGATATACAGCATTAACATTATATAAAAATATAAAGTTACAAAACTTTGCCAAAAAAAACAAAACTATTTGCTATGGAAAAATATAGTAATAATAATAATAAGTTAATGAGACCAAAGATTGTCTGTTATATATACCAAAAATTAATTATATCTCATGTTTAACCACTATGGAGACATCAGAGCCAGCAGCAAATTCCAGAAGATCTGGCCGAGGTAAGGCTGCTCTCTGTGGGTTCATGAGTGCTGAACGGCCGCTGACGCCCTGGAGCTCACATCTCAGAAAATGTCAAAGCAAATTTTGTGAATCGCGAAACAAAAATACGACGAAGAAGACTCAGTACTGTTGAACAGCTAGAATTCTAACTAGAAGCTAGAATGTATTCTGTTTTATTTACATTTTACACAGTGTCCCAACTTTTTTGGAATTGGGGTTGTAAAAAAATGCATATTTGAAGTTTAAACCACTACATTTTCACCTAAAAATATTTGGTATGAATATTTGTACCATTACACCACTTTTTTTCTCACAATAGTGTTGTCTTAAACTAGAACTATGAATACTAAGAATTTTTGTTTATTGTAAAAATTAAAAAAATTAAAATTATACTAAATAAAAATTTAAAAACAAAAAACTAAACTATACTAACAAACACATTCACAGCCTTCTTTCAGTAAACATAAAAGAGCAAAATAAACTAAAATTATAAAAGACTAAAAAACTAATGTGTTTATTTGTTAATACAATACTAATATTTAGTACAAATACAATACTATTGCTTTTACCCCTAAAATTTGGGTTATGTTTAGAACCAACTAAAAAAAGGTGCTTTAGGTTAAAAATGTTTATGAATTATAAGAGGAACTGAATATAGTTTATTTCAATAAGTCTTTAAAATTATAATTGTACAAAAAAGTGACAAAAAGCAGCATATGTTCAGAATTTACAGAGAATTGTAGTTTATTAAAGCTAGTTTTTTTAAAGTTTGATAAATTGGCAAACTGAAGTGAAATAGTTAATTATGGGATATATTTTATACAAGATGTACACAGTTTACATGGGACAGTAGACCTTTAATGCACAGAACTTTATACCTGGCCCAGGTAAAATGCAATGTTAACGTGTGCTGTTTTCAGCTGATGATATATGCTGATAATTGGGATTCAGCATTATTTGATAAATATCTGTAACTGTACAAATAATTCTGATTTAGTTCAAATTCATCCGGTAATAGTTGATTAATCATCTCACTCACAGAATAAATGATGACAATAAAACTAGAAGTGGTGTTTCCGCATATATTTTGTCCAACTCTCTGCATATAACATAATTTGTGACCCTGGACCACAAAAGCAGTCAAGTCAAGTCACCTTTATTTATATAGCGCTTTTAACA